TGCCCCCAATCAAATCCATTGCATACCCACACCCAGATACTCTGCTGTTACTTGGGTGGCTGGAAGGAGCCAAAAATAACCACTCTTACTAACTTAAAGAGAACTAATCTGTATCCTTACCATCCTCACCCAGGAAGGAATAAACTGTTACACCTCAGGAATACCAGCTCATCCACATATCTTATCAAAAGTCTCCTAATCTTAGCCCTTCCATTCTCTAGATTTTAAAATACTAAAGATCTACAACTCCAGAGCAGTGGAAGTGAACAAACAAGATAAGCCCTGTTTTTTATGAATCTCCTCGCTGAAAGTCTTTTCAGGATAGCCCCATGGCAGCCATAGGAAGCCAATTGGTTCTCTCATAATACAACTTCCAACTTCAATTCCAGCAGCCATTTAGTGCTATTGACCAGAAGTCTGTGTCTTGCAGAACACCAAGGTAAAACTCCAGTCAGCTTCACCTTAATCATACAGCTCAAAAATCTCTTGCAGCTAGTCCAGAATGAGTGCCTCACTGATAGCAATGATGAATGAGAAGCATGCCTAGTGCTGGCATTGCACCACCAAATCCATAACAGCTAAATTTCTTGATAATATAGGAAAATGTGGGAGGCATCACCACCAGATAGATCTATAACTAGCTGACCAACTAGATTCAACAGGTAGTCCTCAATGGAACTACATCTACATGGAGGGAAGCATGCAGTGGAATACCTCAAAGCTCTTGTCTTGGGCTCATTATTTTTCAACAGCCTCTTAAATGAATTAGATGAGATAATAGAAGGGAAACTCATCAAACTGCAGGCAACACTGTCAAAAGGATCTTAACAGATTTGAGCATTGGGACCTAAACAACAAGTTCAGTCGTGAGAAGTGGTCCTGCAGGAAAAAAAAATCAATGCACAGGGATAGACTAGGTGATACCTGGCTCAATAGTCTTAACTATGAGAGGGACCTAGGTGTCCTAGTGATCCCCCAGATGAGATTCCAATGGTATCTTAAAGCCTTTTTTTTTCTTTTTGCTTGTTGTAAGGAAGGTAATTCAAACTACATGCTAAACAAAACATACCTAGAGCCAGTATCCTGACTGATGCCTGATATAAGGCATGAATTGTAAACTATGGATGGAATCTTAAATTATGTCCAAGTACTTTCTGTTTTGGATAATAAAATAAAAAGGTGATAAATGCTATAAACAAATTATATATTTATTATGTGCTATTGAGATCTAGAATCTGGTACTTTAATTACATAAAGTGATCCAGGAATAGGCAACTTTCCTAATACCGGTAGGACACTTGAAGCACAAGGGTGGGAAAATCAGAGCAATCTTGATCTCAATTTGAATTAAAATCAATTTGAATTAAAAATAGATTACAGTGTATTTCTACCTCCTTGGGAAGCAGAAGAAAGGCATTTGATGCATCATAAAAGAAAGGTCAACAATGACCTTTGACCTTTTTTCTGTAATGAGGCTTAAATCTAGTGTTAACTGATAAATGATAAACCTTGGAATACAATACAGTATTCAAGCCTTTGAGTTTGATATTATTATGGCCTTTCATTCTGTTCAGATGTCAAAACTATTTGGCTGACTTATAAAACAGTTGAAATGTAACCTTTGAATACTAGTATAAACAATTTGGCATATTTCTATAGTAATACCCAGCCAAGACAACAGCTGCCTCCTTACAAAATGAGTTCTTAATCAGATAATACCAAGCAAGAGCCCAAAATGCATTATAGCTGCTGCTACTCTGTAGACATGTCAGCATATAATATTTACCTTATTTTGTAAAGGCTTATTTTAAGTACATCATGTTTCTGCTTAACTACTGTTTCTTTTTATTAGGAATAGCCTGGTTAAAAGTTATTAATATGTGTATGGTTGGAGTATGTTCAGAGAAAACAATTTGCAGAACATCACCACATATTTTAAAGGAAAAATACAAACTCTTTATATACTTGCAGATAGTAATATCATACATGTAGTCCTTGAGTTACAACCATCTGTTCAGCTATTGTTCAAGGTTATGGGCGACCTGAATAAATGATACTTATTACACCCAGTCTTCAAAGTTATGGGTGTTGTAATGATTCTGTGATCATAGAATCAAAATTTGGGTGTTTGGCAAACCATCCGCAATTACAACCATACAGATACTTCAGCTCCTCCCACCCACTTATCCTGCCACCTATCTCTGCTTTTTGGCTGCCCTGTTTTATGGTATTTCTCAGTGGTGATGGGGCTAAAGTAGAAGCCCTGCTGGTTCTGCTGTGCTGGTTCTGCTACCTCCAGCTGACCTATTGGCCACACCAGGCCTTCTTCCCAAGGCCATTTACCATGTGCTTCTCAGGCCCTGTTGAGCCCAAATGACCTTCGCCATTTTTCTCCTGTTTCTCACAAGACACACCCAGTCTGATTCAATGCCAGGCAGTTGCTGGGCTGGCCAAACATACTTTCTAAAACTGGTCATGCTGTTCTCCAAATAGTGCACAGTGTTTTCACAATGTTCCAAAGATATCTAAGGCCTTCCTTCTAAAATCTTGTGAGGCCACATCCACCATTGTCCAGATAGCATGTGCCATTCTTACAGTGCTTTGGAAAACTTTTGAAGCATTCTAAAACCTCACAGGAAGACCATGACCATCGTTCTCAAACTTGCGTATGTTGTTCTTGAGATGGTTGGAAGGTCTCAGAAGCTATATGGAGAATGGCATGAGTAGCCTTGAGAGGAATGGCAGGGCCAAGCAGGACAGCAAGGCTGGTGAGCGTCAGGCAGCAGGGTGAGTGAAATGCACTCTTGTGTTTTTATCATCTTGTAAATCTTAATTGTTGGGGATGTGATGGCTCAGTGGCTAAGATGCTGAGCTTGTTGATCGAAAGATCAGCAGTTCAGTGGTTCGAATCCCTAATGCCATGTAATGAGGTGAGCTCCCATCACTTGTCCCAGCTTCTGCCAACCTAGCAGTTTGAAAGCACGTAAAAAAATGCAAGTAGAAAAATAGAGACCACCTTTGGTAGGAAGGTAATAGTGTTCGTGCGCCTTTGGCATTTAGTCATGCTTGCCACATGACCATGGAAATGTCTTCGAACAGCTGTTAAGGTTATTGTTGTTGTGTTACCAACCAGCAGAGTGGATTGCACAGAGAAACGTTGCTGAGAGCAATGAATAAGAGATAAGCAAACTGGTTTATCAAAAGCTTACTTTATAGTAGAAAAACAGTTTCATAGTCTTTAAACAAATTCCAAGTCTTTGCCAGTAAATCAGTCCAGTAGTTACAGAATCTTCTTACTCAACAAACAGTAGGTTAGAATAACAAACTCACTCTGGTTCACGATGGTTGCAGATCCATCACACAATGATTACAGCTAGCACCTCCTCTCAATGGTAGCTTATCATCACAGCTTCATACACAATGGCAGCATAGCATAGCAGCATTCCTCATCAACAGCAGATCATAGCAGCAACTGAACACGTTACAGAAGCTTTGCTTAAATATTCTCACAACCAGTAATTATGTGATTACAGCATGACTCAGCATTAAAGCCACATAATACATTTTCAGATTAAAGTTACAGTATACTTATATTGCCTGTACAACATAGTTAGGCTCAAACCATATCCTAACAACAGCGCTGGCTTTTCGGCTTTGAAATGGAAATGACCACCGCCTCCTAGAGTTGGGAACGACTAGCACATATTTATTTATTTATTTCATGTATTTATATGCCGCCCTTCTCCAGAAGGACTCAGGGCGGCGAACACAAGTTAAAATCATGTACAACAAAATCCCATTTTAAACCAAATTAACTAATAAATAATAAAACCCAGAATCAGAGTCAGCCTATTTTCTTGAACAGCCAAGTCTTCAGGTTCCAACGGAAGGAGCGGACATCAGGAGCCGTCCGGATCTCAGTAGGCAACTCATTTCAGAAGGTGGCAGCACCCACAGAGAATGCCCTACCTCTGGGCGCCGCCAGACGACATTGGCTCGCCGTCGGAACCCTCTCGGAACATATGTGCGAGGGGAACCTTTACCTTTACCTTAAATCTTAATGGTTACTAAAGAAGGCACTAAATGAGAACTATTTGGACTTTAAAAAGTCTGGGTGCTGCAATGAACCGGAATATTTTTAAGAATACTATCTTGCTATGTTCGCTCAGATGCATGTCCAACTGAGCTCAGCTAAACTTAATCACAGGTAATTGGATTGGAAGAGTATAGACTATGGTCCTTTATTATTTTGTTAGTTTATGCTGTTCTCATTATTCTCATTGCTTCATTCTCATTGAAATGTTTATTTCATATCCTCAGGCATAAAAAGCAGGGGAAGAAGTATTGCTTTAGTACCATGTTATAGACTTATCACAGGGATTAAAGATTACTGAACTGAGCTGTTCAAAATACAAAATAATATAAAGCACTTTGTATAGTCTTCTGATAGGAAAAATTAGGACAAAAACAGACAAGTCTTGCTTTAAATCTTTGAGGGCATTCAAGCAGAAGCACATAAACTGGTAGTACAAGCAGTAATACTCTAACACAAAAACCATTGGCAAAAGTGTCTAGTTTATGCCATAATAAAAAGGGCATTGTTCAGTTAACCTTCACAGACAAACAACAACCTTCTTCCCAAGTTTTCATTCCAAACTGCCCTGACCTCAATTTTTTCAAGAAAATATGGGAGACTAATCTTTTTCCAGTTTATATCTAGGACATTTGTGATACTCTAGAACTACTGTGATTACATGTCCAGCCAGAATTCTGGAATTTTGGTAGCTCTCAAGATATGATCATAATGGAGCGTGCCCATTATGGTTGCAAGTGATGATGGCTGTTAAGTGAGATGGTGCCACTTAATAATCCCCAGCCCCTGCTCTTCTTGAGGCAGCCGTTAAATGAAAATGTGGGTTGTTAAGTGGAGTTCACAGGCAGTCTCACTGGCGGGTGAGGTCTTTAGAAATCTAACACAGGCATAGGCCTGCCTCCCCCAGACCTCCCAAATTATCCTCTACCCATAAGATATCCCATGTTTTTTTTTCCAGCCCTTCGGTCCCCACAGGTTTTTCCTTCTTCCACTGAATCTCCACAGGCCTTAGGCTTGATTCCCACCCCACTAGGCTCTACCCATTCCTTCTTATTTACCTGACCTCATGTTGGAGTACAGGACAGATGGCACTGGGCTACATGGCTGCTTCCTGGAAGTGGCATCATTATTAGCACACCTGCAATTCTGCAGTCCTATGCAGAATTGCATGCAAGCAGCAAAACAAAGCAATTCATTCCTAGCTAATGCAGTATCCTTGTGAAAGCGGTCATTTTGATATGCTTATCGTGGCTTTGCAGAAGCAACTGACATTTGGAAATGCCTGCAAGGAATTGTGGGTGCACTGAAAATGATGGCCACTTCTGGGAGGCAGTCACGTGGTCCAGCAACGTGTGCCCTGACCTTCCCAATATGAGGTCGAGAGATCTTCAAGAAGTAAGTATGCAATGGATGCCAGGAGTGTGGGGAATAGGCCCAAGGCCCGCAGGGTCTTGGTGAGCAGGATATGAGGTAGAGGGAGAGAGGCAGGGAGTGCTGTGACACACCTGCAAAAAGTCATAGGGGTGAATGATTGTGAGGGCACTGCAGCAGCTGTAACTTTGAAACAGAATCATAAGTAATTGCTACTGGTTTTAAAGGAAGTGTCATGAATTTGCTTTATATTTCTGTTATATTACCATTAGTGAAAAAAATGGGTCTTAAATAAGGAAGCCTTGTCTGGTTATATCCTGTGCCTATTGATTCTCATAAATAATGTCCATCTCATTAATTAGTATTAATTAGTCAGGAAGAAACAATAGTTTAATTATCTAGTTACTGGCTTTCAGACTGAGAAAACAGCTTTGAAAACTTCAGTCAGGAGCTCTTTATAAGTTTTTGAACAAATCAGTAACATTTATTACATGATTTTGAGGAAATCAGGTTAAAAACTTGCCATTTCCTTATGTGTTTATTCTTATTCTTGCCATTTCCTTGTTGTTTTTATTATTAAACATTTCCAAAGACATTTTCCTTAAGCCTTTATTATTTAGATAGCTAGTTTCTATCAATTACTGTTTTTTTGTGATCAACCAGGCACAAGTGAAGATTCCAAGAGTTTCATATTAAACTTGTTCAGAGATCCAGATTCAAAGGGCATAATGTGATTCAGAGCGTTCAGGAAAACCTTCAAACAGTTGCTTCTTCTCAGTTCTCACAGCTGCCTCCACAGCTAATACAATCTCCTGCAAGAGATGCATTTGGTTTAAGGTGTTCCCAACAGATGGTATGTGAAACTGTATGTATATGCTGAATCATTTGCTCTCTGAATGCAGATGGCAGCACCACACAATTAAATATCTGTTCTCAAAATATGAAAAAGGGCTCATTGAAAACTAATATTTTCATAGAGAACATTGGAAACTTTGACATTTAAATTGCCATATGCAAGATCTGCCAGAGCCATTTATAAAGTTTTATTGTGGAAACAATTATGCTTATTCCTTTTACAGGCCACACCAAACAGAACTACTATCTTGTTGGCTATTAGTGAAACTAATTCTTGATGACGTTTGGGAAGAGCAGTTTTTGTCATTCTTTAATGGAAACTTATGTTACCATCTCCACTTGACAAATGGAGCTTAGGTGTGTAAATTTTTTTCATCATCCTAGCATGCACTGTTGTACGGTATTTATACATTATATATACAATAGATTGTCTCCTAAGGAGGTCCATCTAGTGGGGCCAAGGCTTTTGTCTGTAGTGGCTCCCTGTGGAACATCCTTCCTAGAGATAAGTTTGGTCCCCACTTTGACAATCTTTCACAAGGCCTGGATATCTGGTTTTGCCAACAGGCCTGGGGACACAAAGTGGGATGGAGTCTATCAAATGGCTTTTTTGATTGTTGTAGTTGGTGTGGGGGTGTTATTGCTTTTATTGTTTTTATATTGGGTTTTTATCCTTGCAAGCCATCTGGAGTCACTGAGAGTGAGTTGGGTGGCCATATAAATGTTCTTAAATAAATTTGCTGAACATGCTTGACATACTACTGAAGAAAAGCTGAGGATTTATCAGAGTACTAAAGGTGTTTATGACACGGTGAGATTAACGCAGGGGTGAAATCCAGCAGGTTCTGACAGGTTCTGAGAACTGGTAGGAGAAATTTTGAGCAGTTCGGAGAACCGGCAGCGGAAATTTTGAGTAGTTCGGAGAATCAGCAAATACCACCTCTGGCTGGCCCCAGAGTGGGGTGGGAATGGAGACTTTGCAATATCCTTCCCCCAGGAGTGGGCTGGGAATGGAGATTTTGCAGTATCCTTCCCCTGCCACGCCCACCAAGCCACACACCACACCACGCCTACCAAGCCACACCCACAGAACCGGTAATAAAAGAATTTAAATTTCACCACTGGATTAAAGCCTCTGGAACATCTAGTTGCCCATATTGCAGTATAATAAAATCTGAAACCGCAAAGGCAGAAATACAGTAGAAACATGGAATGTAAAAATCAGGAACATGAGAAAATCAGCACAGAAATGTATAAACTGGAACTGGACACTTTCAGCCAAAAGATCATACTTCTTACTATATAAGACACACAGGAATGGCATTGCTTTCATAATCAGGAATGATATTGTAAGGGCAATGATATTGTAGGTAAAATGAGTACCCGGTTTGTGAGGGCAATAAGCTGACTTTGTATAAAATATACAAAAGTATGAAGGCTATTGCTTAACACATTATAAGCCGCCCTGAGTCTCTGGAGAAGGGCGGCATATAAATCAAAATTTTTTTAAAAGGGCAATATATCTTCGCACTTTCCGACGTGCCCTGAAGACCTTTCTGTTTCAACAAGCAGGGCTAGCATAAACATCTAAATTCTATGCCAAGATCTTAGCAGATACACCAAGTTGACTCAATTTATTATTTACTGTTTTTTTTTAAAAAAAAATTAAATGTATATGAAATCTTAATCTGTTCACCGCCCCGAGTCCTTCGGGAGAAGGGCGGTATAGAAATTCAATCAATCAATCAATCAATCAATCAATCAATCAATCAATAAATAAATATGGGTACAAAGCAAACAGTGAATAAATAATATCAATTAGACTTTGCAGACAAATCTTAGTTAATGATGATTAACTAATTTTATGCCTCAACCATTGTTACAGAGGAGAGGATTGACAGGTTATCTGCTCAAGTTGAATCTGAAATTGACAATATATGCAAGCACTCTGTGCTGCTTGTGGTTGCAGTTTGGAATGCCAAAGTTAGAAATATTCAGGAGAACAACCTAGCTGGAAAAGCATGATGTAACAAATCGAAATGGAGTAAGAGAATGGTATACCAATTTTCCCCAATCCAGTGTTTTTCATTACTAACAGGCTTCCAACAAACAAAATGAACAATACAGTACATCATACATGGCATCATTAGATTGAATACACAAACAGTTTTTTTGATGGAAAAGAAAAATATGGAAGACCTCAGTTATTATAGGAAAGAATGGCAAGGGGCTGACTGTGGAACTAATTATGAACTGCTCATGCAAGTTCCAAGTCAAGATAAATTGGAAGAAAAAAGTAAACCAGTTTTCATCAATCAAAGATCCATGCATAACTTCAATGTTATTTATTTCATTTTCCAGAGACAAATTATGGCAATTACAACAAAAATATAAAAAGACCACTAGAGTCCGTAATAAATACTTCATTTAAATGTCAAATACCACTTCCAAGTTGGAGAGAATAGCTTTCAAAAATATAATTGACAGCATCAATTGCACATAGTTAAAGAGGAAGACTGACACATAGAATTTAAAATGTAAAGGTATTTGTTGAAATGTTGGCATATGATCACTACCCTCTTAAGTGGAATTAATACTAATTGTTTTGGAGTTTCAGTGTCTCCAAACATAATCAGGTTTCATTATATCATTAAAGAGGACAGATATATAAAGTACAATAGGAAAATATGTCCTTGCCCTATATGTTGTAAGTTGATTTTTAAACTACACATAGTTGTTGAAAGTTCATTATTTTAAAACATATTCATGCAATAGTTTAAAAATATACACTATCTTTGTCTACCTTCAGCAAAAAATAGGTTTGTAATAAATACTAGAAAACTTGTAGATTTTTAAAAGGAACAAAAACAACCTGTGACTATTAACTTCAGAAATCTCTAAATCTGAAAAACTATGAATAGAATTATTTGATATTTACACCAGATATGAAAACTGAGCTTCTATTCTGTTTTTTTGGGGAAATTCAGACCTCTTTTAAATGTACAATTCATTAACGTATATCTGTATTGCAATATAAGACTTAAAATGTTTTTCTACATAAAAGATATATATATATTTGCATACTTTCATTTTGAATATATAGATTAACCAGCAAGATTTCAGCTACAACATTTTGTATACAAGGAAATGAAAGCTTTTGTAAAATCAGTTTAAGAGTAGAATTACTAACTTAAGTAAACCTATCAGTTGATAGTTTGGGCATCAAATAGTTTTTTACTTACGTTTTCTAAAATTATATCTAGTCCTTGTTAAATTCATAAACAAGGCAACCAATAGTGATATAGATATTAGTGTCAAAATGAATAGAATGTAGCCTACTATTTATAAAAGCCACAATATCTTCAAGGAAAGTTACCTAAAATGTTTTTCATAACAAAACATAAAATAACATTAATTGCATATTTGGAAAATCTGCTCTACAAACTGAGATTCACTGTTTCTGCATTTAGTTTACCACCACTTAAGCTATGAATCATTGCAATCATATGAGAATGTTTGTTTAATTCTTCTTGTTGAAGCTTGATTAAAGCCTCCTTTTCTTCTAATCGTCCTTCCAACTGTGACTTCTGAACTTCCAAAGAAGATGCCTGAAAATACATATTATACACTATTTAATATAGCTAACAAACATGCAAATATGCATTCTCTGTTCACATTGGGTGAAATCAAATTCCAATAAGTTCCACACTATAGGTAACAGCAATTACTTAGAACATCTAAACTGACAAACCAGTTGGCAATTAGACAATAACCCATAAAGCATATTTTGAAGTGGTTGGGTTATTAATTATTGATTGTGCTAAGTATATTTTGGATGACATTTCAATTAATAAATTATAATCATCCGAATTTCAGAAAATCAATTTAATATACATGAAGAGACAGAAGAAGAAAAAAAGCTTTGACCCAGGTTGTGCTTTCTGTAAATTCAAATAACAGTGAAGTCATACTACGGATTACTTTATCACCAGTGCACACTATTACCATACCAAAGTTGTTTAAACAGTGATGTATCTGGTGTAGTTTGGATCAGAATAAAATCAAACCAGTTGTAATTTAAAATCAGAAAAAGCTTAACTGATTCCCTACCTTATATACAAAGGTTTGAAATGAAAGTCTAAATGTTATTTATTTATTTAAAAAAATTATATGGCTACCTACCTTAAGCAACTCTGGGCAACGTACAACCACAAAACCAATAAATCATAAATCAACTATCACAAATAAAACCTTTAGTCTTTTAAATATAAACATTTAAGAAAATTCATGTTTCCCTGATTATTAGAAATAATCAACTTAAAAAGAAATATACCCACATACATATATATCTCAGATTAGGTTTCTAAGGCACTATATATGGATGTAAATTGTTTAATGTCTATTATTTTTATGACTCTTAAAATGACTCGAAATTGTATCTCGAAATTGTATTCTAATTTACTCAAGTGTATCTCATTTAATTCAATATATCTCTAGATATATTTGCAACCTCTATTCATTTTTAATTTTATACATATTTACTCAATATGTATACATACCAACAATGAATTTTTTCTATGTTCCCTAGAATCACAAGAAGTGGCAGCACACAAATAATCCTAAATAAATAACTTACCTTAATACTCAGTTCTTTTCTTGCCTGTTCAGTTTTACTTAGCTCTTTTCTAAGAATGTCCATTTTGTCCTCCATATCTATTTTTTCCTTCTGTTTGGCTTTTAGTTTTTCTTCTTGAACTTTTATCTTCTGTTGTAAATCTTTTGAAAAATATGTAAGAAAAAAGTGTTTTTTTCCCAAAGTGGTTTACTCCAAAACTTTTGGACTCTAATACTTTCCCACAACCATCATTGCATGAATTGTGCAGCACTGCCATCTGCTGAACATTGACCACTCACATTTTACAGTCCTCAGCATTTGTCTTAATAAAGATGCATTTTTCAGTTTACTGCATACTTGAAATGGGGATTTTAAGAAACAAAGTGTAATACCTAAATTTAATATTGCATTTAGCCACAACTCACTTAACCATGGCTTCTTTAATAAACCAAAATGACAGGTGACACTAAACCAAATCCAAAGAAATCACATTCCAGCTCAGTGGAACATATGAACTCACATATTTTTTTTTTGCCTAATTTGCCTTACATATAAATAATTTATTCTGAACAACAGAAACTGCTTGTATTAGTTAATTCAGCAACTTACTTTAATTAGCGCAGCCATGTTTTCTCAATATATCTGGCTATAACAATTACTGTTTCTAACACATGATGAGAGATCTGTTATTTGGCTAAATGAAGAAAGTATTGTCATGTATTGTTAAAAATCTGTGCTGTGATTTGTGTACTGATATTTCTGTTTATATTCATCACCAATGAAAATATCTTGCACTTTCGGCATTACAGTTACTGTTTGACAAAGGTTTTTCTTAGCCTTTAATTGTGAGTCCACGTACAGGTAGTCCTCGACTTACGATCACAATTTAGCTCAAAATTTCTGTTGCTAAGGGAGTTTTGCCCCATTTTATGACTTTTCTTTCCACAGTTGTTAAGTGAATTACTGCACTTGTTAAATTAGTAACACAGTTGTTAAGTGAATCTGGCTTCCCTGTTGACTTTGCTTGTCAGAAGGTCATATATGACTCAGTTGCCAAGAGTCTGAATTTGGATCACATGACAATGTGACCAAACACTATTATAGTCGTAAGTGTGAAAAACTGTCATAAATCACTTTGTTCAGTGCTGTTGAATAGTCACTAAATGAATTGTTGTAACTCAAGGACTGGCTGTCATGGAATATGTTGTTTGTCAAACATAAGCAGGTGGCCTATAAACAGTTTAAATTAAATTAGGCAAAACCCAGATCCTAAACATCTCAGGGGTGGTGAAATCTAGTAGTAGGAGGTAGGAATGGCAGGATCCTGCCCTGGTGGTGGGCACTCAGGTATGGAGGGCAGAATGCCCTATCTTATGTGGCGGTGGCATTAGCAGTTTCCTTTGGCAGGCCTCTTCTCTACCTTGAGTCATTTTAAGTGTACCAGCTACCACATCTAACTAAAAGGTCAACAGAGAGAAGCTCCATATACAGAGAGATTAATCTGAATATTAGCAACCCTTTTCATGGGTTATGGAAGTTAAAGATCATTCACTCCTCTACTTAGTTCTTAGCCAAATTGGCAAGATAGCCCAGGCAACCAGGAATCTTGGATTTGATCCAGAGTATAGGTACAATTTCAAAAGCAAAACAATTCAAGGGTCCCATTAATTAAGTTAGCATTTAAATATATCCTGAACCAGGGTGCAACGTGTGTAATACTGACCATTGACAAATACAGTAAAGAAAAGGAGCAGAACGGAGCAAATTAAAAGTAGAAGAATTTTCTTCTCCTAGGCTCTAAGGGATTATGGTCTTCTGTTGTCAGGGCAGAAGATAAGGAATAGCATTTTATTTTTAAAAACATTTGCTTTTCTAGGTTTTTTTCACTAGCATTAATAATGCTTGAAATAAAATAGTTTCCTGCCTGTTTGGGGAGCAGACTAGGATTCAGCTTGTCTAATTTTTTTGCTTGGCTTTTTAAAATGAAGGAGCAGGACTTGTATGCTTTATACCAGAGGCATTAGAGGCAGATTCTTCTGCACAACTTAGAAAACAGGGTTTTGAAATACTGCTTGTCTTTGGGATGTCTTAAAAGGGAACATAGAATTGCAGGTTTACAGCTTTGTAATGATATAAACAGCCAGGCAATGAAATGCCTCCAAAAAAATAGCCAAGCTAAGGGAGCATGAAGAACCCAACAAATATGCAATATTTTTTTTACCCTTTCTTTATGAACAGTATATATGAAAAAGCCGATACATTTATAAGTACTAACTTGATATTTGTCCATCTTTTTCTTGGATCTGTTTGTTCAATTCTTTTCTATGTTCTTCTGTTTCAAGAAGCTGAACAACGGTTCTGAAATTGTAAGCATAAATATTAGATTTCACATATTAATTTTTCATAAATATGAAAAATAGTGATATGCTGTATCATATTGTATCATACTGTAGCTATGTATACCAACAACATCCTTACGGGTTATCAAAGTTTATTTTCATATGATGTACCTTCAACAGGGAGAAGCACCCCAGGCCCAAATGAAACTTTTCATGTCATTTAACAATGTTGAAAACAGGAGTTAAGAAAAAAAATGAATAAGATAAAAAGTTGAAGTTGGGTGGGTGACAAGTGAGAAAAAAAGTAGATAGTACAATTGGAATAGACATATAATGTCAAAGTCATACAACAATATAAACGGGAATCTTAGCAACAGGAAATAAATTCAAAAATATTTTTATTTAAAAATAATTTTAATTTGACTAATAATCATTTTCCCCCAATTATTGAATAATCTTTATCATGGCTGTTTGATAAAAAAAATACTACACAACTTTTCTTTCAACAAAACCATTTAATTTAAATGTAGCTTTCTTTAAACTTTACAAAAAAACTTAACTTACTTTTCATTCTGTTGCTTCAACGATTCATTCAGTCTTTTAAGGGTCTCAAGTTGTTTATTCAGTGAATTACACATTCCCTGCAGATTGTTATACTGCTTTTCAATAGTTTCATGCCTAAAATGTTCAAATTATTACTATTAAAAGGAATGAATGCTATGCAATTTTCATAATGTAATATTTGATAACATATATTAGAGTGTGCGGTCCTTGTGCTCTCTGAGTTTGGTTGTTTTCTTGCAAATGTTTCATCACCCAACTAGGTAATATCATCAGTGCAACAAAATCTTAGTTTAACCCTGAGCTACAAATAGTTTTATATTGGTATATATTAGAACCTCCTATCAAATTCAAAACATTTATCCTCTTTCTCTGTGTTTGGAATTGTGTGTTTACCACTTTCAATTCAATTTTCCGCACTGAAACATATTCCATAAGGAATTCTGATTAGAGAATACACATTTTTTTTAAAAAAATCTTGTCACCAATTAATTGCATGACAAATCTTTAAGATCTATGCAGCTTGCATGAAATATAAATATGATTTTTGAATAAGCAATAAACTTATTTTCTAGTAATAAGAGACAACAGAATCTGATCTATCAAAAAGAAACATGTAACATCTGCAGTTAATTTTTACTTATACTTATACAAATTGTATTTTGAGATCTACAGATAAACAAGCTATTCATCAAGATACTTCTCAATTTCCAAACAACCTTGTAAACTCTTAAGATGTTCTTTACATTGCTTCAATCAGGCATTTTCTGTCTTAGAGTTTTGTTCATTCTTCGTTTTGTTTTTTTTATTTTGGGGAAAAGATTTTTGCAAAATTTGTGGTTTCAATTGCTTCTATTTCTATCACTTTGCTTTACCTATTTGAGGGTATGATAAAAAAGTTCCCACAACTAAGAAACATTAAGACCTAACTTTGCAGTTTGCTAGCCAAAAGTTATTGTTGTTTTTACAAATGAGTAATATGGTCTTATGAAATAACTTTCTTTCTCATACCTATGTAGAAAAAGATTAGCAAAGGGTTCAGTTTAGCTGTTGGCTTCTAAAAACTTCAAATTTGTCCAAATTTTGTATTAATGCTTTATTTAAAAGCTCAGCAACAGCTAGGTATTGCATTTACATTTAAAATATTTGAGAAAACCTATATGCCTTTACTATCTAACTTTTGCAATATCTGATAAATTTCAACCAACACTGTTTGAAGGGTAGAAACCTCTTTCCTAGACAGCCTTTTTTCAGCCCATGCAGTGAGCTGAATTTATCCCACTGAGGAATTGTTGGCATTTACAGGTAGTCTTAGATGTATTAGGGCAATTGGAATCAGGATTGCCATCACTAAGAAGAGTGCAAACTACTTTGCACAGCAATGACAATAAAGGTAATCCTGGCTGCCATCATTAAGTGAATGTCCCAGTTCTTAGGTGAGGCAACTTCCTGCCAGCTTCACACAATCAATGTAGAGGGGAGAGCCAGAAGGAAGCTGCAAGCCCCAGGCCTTGCTGCAAGAGACTGCATGGAAGTGTTAGGGAGTCTTCAAGGGCTTCAGAACCACTTGGATGTTTAGTCCCAGAATCAAGAGGCTTCTGAAGCATTTACATTCTGTGGCTGAAAATTCTGCTCAGGTTTTAGCATGAAGCTTTTTGAGGCAGCCTGAAGAGACAAGATCTGGATCTGGATCTGGATCTAGAGGCTGGTTGAAAATGCCCCATGCCATAATCCTGCTTGGATTTTGGAATGGAGCTTTTCCAGTCAGCCCCCAAGAGATCAGTGTCCAAACTGCAAACATGTAAGGTGGAGGCTCTCCACAGGTACAACTTCAGGGATCAGTTGTAATGCCTTCATTTAACACCATGGTAATTTTGAATAGTCACTGAACGAATGATTGTAAGCCAAGGGCTACCTATAAGTATCAAATTAAGTTCACATGGGTTCCATGGCAAAATACTTTTTCAATCCTATGTGGGGGTCTTATGTGGATGCTTCTGAAATTTATATATATATAAATTATATATATATAATTATATATTTTATATATATATATATATATATATATATATATATATATATATAAAATTTATATTTTGCTGATAAAGAAAAAAGGGAGACTAGTATAGATCTATTTCAACCTTTTTAGTTTTCATCAGCTAGCCATACCCTTACTCGGATTCGAACTTGGGCTTCCTGCATGTTAGGCAGTTGAATTAACCTTCTGAGCCACAAGTTCTCCTCCCTTCATCAGCTTGAGCCAGGGGAAATATTAAGTGTTTTTCTATCTAGACACCTGGTCTACCCCAACAAGTGGGAGGGGGCATTCTGCTCCCTTTCGCCTTTCATCTCCAATCCAGGAGCCCTCAAGCAGTCAAGCAGGGTATGGCTAGCTGATGAAAGCTAAAACGCTTGAAATAGATCTATACTAGTCTCCCTTTATTTTTTTATCAGCAAAATATAAATTTGGTATAAAATGGTTTGTCGTGAATGCGACAGTTTTATATATATATAACTACACTAGTTACTTTATCTAAGATAAAATAATTTTATTGAAATTGGTCTTATACCAGAAGGATCCAATATTGTTCTTTAAGCAAAATATTTATAATGCTAGATATAACTGGATTGGTTGGACACATAGCAATGTTCCTTTAATTATACAGCCTACAAATTCTATTTGTCAATAAAAATAAAATCTCTATATTTATCCTTTTTGATGATATAAACAATTATATATATAGTCTGAGTGCAATCTCTCTTTTTTTCCTATGGAGAAATGCTTAGCAGGCTTATATCTTACTTTTGAAGCAGATCAATGGAAGATCTTTTCAGTATCTCATATTCTTCTGCTATTGTTTGCAGTTTCCGATTATGCTGAAATAGTTGTTCAATATCACTTTGTGCACGTTCAGATTCTGTCTGCTGGGCTTTCAATAGTGACTCCAGATCTTCATTTTTTCTTTCTGTATCCTTCAGTATTGAAGCAAGCGTCCTAGCCTTTTGGAATTTGTGCAAAATGACAGTTCCATTGTGTGAATGAAATGTTAGGACACTAGACCAATGAACCATGCTAATACTAAACCAGCACTTAAGGCTTTTAAATTTCAAGAACCCAGACAGCAAATTACCCTTTAAAGCATAATTTGCAGATGTACAAACATCTACAATCATAAAAGGATAGTGCCAAGTAAGTGAAATATATAATCTACGGTTTATTTTCAAATACAAAGCAAGGCAGATTACATGAGCAATTTTGTATTGACAGATGTAAGTAATAAATGAATCCTTATATGATAATTCTGCTTTACCCACCTCAGATTCAGCTTGAGCTCTCTGGCAACGATACTGGGCAATAAGTCTATCAGCTTGAGAAAGAGCTAATGCCTTTGCTTCCAAAAGGTCCTGCAACCTAGTTTCCTTGGACTAAAAAGAAAATTATTGCAAAATGAACTGCACATTCAGAGCATACACATGAATAAAAGTCTTACTAAATATACTCACTGCCAATGCAGACAGTTTCTGTTCATATACTTCTATTATTTCAGATACCCTGATGTCTGTGACTGATTCCTTCATCTGTTGGAAATGTTCATAATATAAGCTAAAGCAATATGCAAATCTTAATTCAAAATTGTACCTATATGGACAAATAAAAAACTTGATATGAGGAATGACTACACAAGTTCTGTTCACAAAGTGACATTATACATGACCTAGGTATTAATGGTATTAATATAATTATTTAAATATTACAAAACAAATTTTTCTGTGCTCCTATAACTAATGTGTATCAAAACAGAACAAATGAAAATCCACTTATTTCCATATTAATTGATTCTATAGTATACCGATTTTAAGGCACCGTAATTATGAACAAGGCTTCATATTTATTGTCTTACAAAATCAATTTACTTCATTTCCTTTGCTCAGATATTTAGTGGAATTTGTCCAAATTTCTGAGTACTGTAGATTCAAGTTCCACACTGAATTACACTGTATTGCAGTTTAATTTTATATCAAGACAAAAATGTTTTCATGTTTGTGTTAAAAGCACTAACCTCCAAGCCAGTTTGGAGTTTGTGAATCAGGTCCTGAATGTTGAAAGTTGCAGCATCACCATCATTGGGATGGCAAACATTAGAGGACTTTACTGAATTTACAGAAGTCATGGATGCCTGCAGGTGACCTCTTTTAGAGACATGCTCAGATTCCTGTTGTCTGTAAGCATTATTGGCTGCAATACTTTCACCAAGCCTAAAAAAAGCATCACACACAAAAGGCGATATCAGTGGGAAACTGTGTGTCTTATAGAATAAGATCAGAATGTGAAATAATGGCAGGGTCTCAAGGTAGATTTTCAAAAACATTTTTATGAAAGACAGAATTTTTTTTAAAAGAAACAATAGGAAACTTACACTATGGCAGGAAAATCTGGCAATGGGGCTGCTTCAAATAATATTCTAAGTCCTGCTTGAACTTGTTCCCTGTGGTCTGATGTTAAAGCAAAAGCCAAAGGGGTAACCAAGCGTTGGTCCTAGATATAGAGCACTTGTTAGTTTAAAAAAACCTTTCTTTTTCAAAACAGCCAGCAGTGGTTTGCACAGGGTTTTGCACAAACAGTACAAGTGATAAATTTTTGGCATCACCTTCCTTCCAGCCCTTTTTCATCTCCCCAGGTGATACTTATGTTTTTAAAGGCTATGGAGGTTTGTTTGATAAGTCTAATAGTCACTGAAAATGATCAGTATCATTTTTAGAGTGATTAATATAAATATTTAAAACTTTGTACCTGAAGAACTTTGTAAAAACTGACTTCCATGTTAGGAACCAGCTGCTTAAGCTTACTCATCAGATCCAGTGTTTTTAAGATTAGATCAGCAGCAAGTTTGCTAAAAATGTTAAGAGAACATTTTATAATGAATAAGCATTCAAAATTAAAATAATTACTTTTACAAGGCAGCAAGTAATGGCATAAGGATATATGCTTTCCATCTGTAGTTATCAGGAAGGTTAAAAAAAATAAAGACATGGTTTGGGGCAAAATAAGGTAGAATTTGAACTGCTGGCCCGGGCGGGCGGGTTGGGGCTTTCCTCCCTCCCTGCCCAAGCGGGCTTCTTGCGCAGCCCCAGCCCTACAGCCCATGTCACTGATCCACATCCGCAGTCCAGAGCACCTGGCTGGCTCAGGTCCAAGGGGCAGCGTTTGTTGGCTGGGTAGCCGGCCACCCCGCCTGCTGCTCCTGCAAGGGGGTGGCAGCGGTTCTCGCACTGCCACTTCCAGCCAGGATGCTGGAGCAGCCAGGAGGAAAAGGAGGAGCGCCTGTCGGGGAGGCGAGCTGCCCCAGGAGGGCCAGAGGAGAAAGCAAAATGGAGATACTGCCAAGAGGTAAGAGCTGGGCCTGCCAGGAAGTGGGAAGACGCTGCTGAGGGATAAGGGGGGGCTGCATTGGCTCTCCAATCCTGCTGGCCCCCCCAAGCCGAGCCCCGGGAATGCCAATGCCCCTTACCTCTGAGGCCAGGAAGGGGCTCCGGCTTTCTAGCGGAGGAAGGCAGTATTCCCTGCCTAACTTTCCCTGCCCGGGGCTGTGGAACCCGGTCATCGGTGGGTGTGTCCTGCCACCCTAATGGGGACCAGGGTGTGGGCAGGGAGATGTGAAGACCCCTGAAAGACAGGGTGGAGCTGGCGCATGCACAATTGATAGCTGGTCTCCGTGCGCGCGTGCGCGCCAGAAACCAGAAGACCAGGTCATTTGCTTTTCTGGTTTCTGGTGCGTGCACACTCCCATTTTGGCACTTGGTGCCGGAAAGGTTTGTCAACACTGTTCTAAAATCTGGAGTGTAAAATGTTATGCTTATAATACGAGCCATTTATGATTCAATAGTACTCTGAAAAACTTTGTTTTTAACTTAATGAAAAAAGAATGGCAAAGTTAAAAAACAGTAATTGTTGAATTATTGCAATCACATATTTATACATTAAAGTCCAGCTAAAATAGAACCACAGGCTATGAATTTTAGGGAAAGTTTGTTAGCTGTAAATGCTTCACAAAAATATAATAGCAATAGCACTTATATATCGCTTCACAGCCCTATCTAAGCGATTGACAGAATCAGCATATTGCCCCCAACAATCTGGGTCCTCATTTTACCGACCTCAGAAGGATGGAAGGCTGAGTCAATCTTGAGTCTGGTGAGATTCAAACTGCCAAATTGCAGTCAGCCAGCAGTCAGCATAAGAGGACTGCAGTACTGCATTCTAACTACTGAGCCACCACGGCTCATAATAATAGGGATTAGTCCCCACAAAATTTCAATTTATTCTTTTGAAATAAAAAGTTATGGGTTGGAAAAAATAAAAAAGAATGATAAAAACAATAGGTTGTGCTTACCTCAATTCACAGTCCATAAATTTTGTCCCAAAACTAAAATCAATTCCACTAGAAGTAAATTGGTGTTCTATTAAAGTAGCACACTTGCTAGCTGTTAAAACTTTAATGACATGCATTTTCAGCATATCATCTGCACAAAGAGGTACATTCTGTTAAGGATTTTGTTTTTCTGAAATATTCAGTTTATGGTCAAATTCACTAACAAATAGTGTTAATATTCCTCACTTACTGATTGCTTTGTTTAACAACCTCTCAAAGTTTTGATGGTTGGAGAAAAAGAAAGAAGGAATTAACATCAGACAAGCCATCCAAAGAAAATACCCAAGAAACTACAAAGGAGAAAAATCACATATCCACTAATACTGGAAGGCAATACTGGAAGCTTTTATATTAACAGGGAAAAAATAGGAAGCAAACTCCATACATCATCTGCAAGCAAACAACCAAACTCAGAAACATCAATGGCTTCACAGTTCAACATTGAGCTACATATATTCTCTTCTGGTTAGGGGAAAAAATAGTTTTGCAATCAACCTTTACATTGTAGCATCTACGGTCACATGAGTGTTATTTACATGCTTCACAACCCGCTTCTAACAAGCAGAATTCATGGAGAACATGGAAGGGAAATTGCAAGTTGCTATTCCACGATATCTTGCTTGATGACTGCAGAAATTTGCTTAATGTCAAAAGCAGATGCAAAGTTGTAAGTCCCCTGATTTTTTTAGTTAGCCATCATGGCATTTAGTGACAGAACTGCTGGTCTCAGTTGTGATCAGTAAGCGAGGATGCCTGTAAGTAAAACTCTCTAGTGATGCAAAATGAAAGTCTAAACAGGAAAATAAAGCTAATTCAAAGTAATTTGTTAAAAACTTGTGGAATCTTCAAGTAATGCCCACAATAACTGGCAAATGAAGAATGCTCTTCTGTATTTTACCACAATTTCCCAAATAAGTCAAATAATAACTTATAATTTTATTATAGTCTAATTTTTCTTAATTTCTGTTGAATATTATAAATTTATAGTGGCAAATATTTTTGCTGATATATAAGGTGTCATGCAACAAAAATCCACACTGAAAGGAAAGTAAGTATCAAGAAATCTGCTGTTAGTTATTGTCAATTATTGATGCATTATTATATATGCATCTCCTATATAAAACACTAAGAAAAATGTTTAAACATTTTTTTAAAAGGTTTAACTGTCCTAATCTGTTTTAAAATTATCTAGGTGAGTGTCTCTATTTTGTCTTAATTTTTTTTCTTTTTTGCATTGTTATCCAATAGAGAATTTGTTTTTAAGCTTTATGTAATTAAAATGAATGTATCTTATTTCAAATGCATGATTTTCTCACAATCTTCAATAACAAAAATTTGCAAGAAGGATATTTATCAAGATATCAATAGTCTTGATCATTCGTTCACATTTTTTCTTTGCCAACAGATCTTCTAGTATGTGGTCAGGAAAATGAAGATGGTCGAGAAGAATGGGCAAAAGAAGATCCACAAAGCGTTCAGCAGTTGCACTATTGCCTGCATCAATAACATCCTGTAACAGAAATATTATCAATTTAATGACATTAAAACAATTAAAAAATACACCAAACTTTGTGGAGTCCAATTTATTTTTAAAAATGCAATCCAACCACAAAATTTTATATCAATTTGATTTGACCTTAATTTTATTCTTGTTTGTAGTTTTAAAAGGGTTATAGTTTAGACATATTAGCTTAAATAGCCTAATTTTTAACCAGTTTTACAAAAATATCACTGTTAATTGTTGATCTGATTTCCATAAACACAAACTTGAGAATCTTTCCCTTTTTAAAATATGAAATAATAATTAATGAGTTATTTTATTACAAGAACTTACAAAATTGTAGGAGGTAGGCACTTCCTCACGGATAAAAAATAAAAGATTTTTTAAAATAAGAAAATTTGTAAGAACTTTAGTTTTTGCCTAAATATTTTTAAATGTTCATTTATATAAATGTTTTATTACTTTGTAGGCCTAACAAGTACACACACGGGTTAAAAAGTGCCCTTTATATATTCTTCCTCTTATGTGATCAAATGCCAACAATGTCCTTCTGATTCTATGTAGAAT